TGCCGATCTTGTCGAAATGCCGCTCGACACCCTACTGGCCCTCGACATGGGCTCAGCCGAACCAGGAGAAGACTTAGTATCGAGCACAGGGTTCGAACTGCTGAAGGGTGAGGCCGAGAGGTGGCATCGCGCGGCTTCGGCCGTCCAGGAGGCGATTTATGGTCTGCAAGCGGAGTTGGATAAGGTCATCAACCTTCATCGAGCTGCGCCTGAGACGGTGTTGGACGAGACGGTCCTTCCCGCGGAAAGCGGCCCAAGGTCTGGAATGACCTTCCGCGAACTGAACATCCGACGCCATTCGTTGACCATCAGGCAACAACAGTTGAGGGCAGGGGCCAGTTTTTGGGCCTTCACATATTTCCAAAGCCTTGTGGAACCGGAGGGCGACCTAGCTCCTATGGGGAGTTTGCCAGACTCGGCAAGAGGCACAGCCCTTTCTTCGGCGGATTACCTTCACGACCTTCTCCGCTGGAGCATCAATAGGTTCTCAAAGCTGGGTGATCTATACGCCCATATGTCAGAGTTCATGACCCAGATCCAGGAACATGAGGCCACCTCAAAGAAACAATTCAATGAGCTGACAGAGAAAGTCCACGAGCTCTCTGTGAGCATCACTGGATTGCAAAGTGCATCGAGGGTTGCATTGGACGATTCACGAGCCCAACAGAAGCAGACGCATCGGACTCTAGAGAACTTGCTGTGGCAGCTCGCAGGCAGCGGCAAAACGGTCAACCAGTCGATGAAGGACATCGTTCTGTCCATGGCCAAGCTGATCCAACAATCCGAGCAACACCTCTCGCGAGGCACCCGAGCGGCAGAGGCCTCATCAGAAGGCATTGATGGCCTTGAGGTTCATTTGAAAGCCATAGGGGGACACCTGCAGAAGCTGGTTGAATTGCAGTCCAAGAAGCCAGATGAGCCAAAGGCGGCTGGACCGAAAATGCCACCGCCACCTATGGCACCTACCAGTGGAAATGCTCCAGCTCCGGGTGTGTCAGGAGGGATGACTGCACCTCCAGGTGCAGTGCAGCCGAAACTGATGCCAGGGTCATTAAACCCACCAACTCCATCAGCTTTTCCGCCAAGTCCTGCGTTCCCAACACCGACATTTGGGGCTGGAATCTTTGGTACTCCTCAGACGCCCACAGCACCAGGAGCAACCAGCGCTCCGGCTGTTCCATCAGCACCGGGGTACAAGAGGGTGAGGCTGGCCGATGGCCAATGGAGCTGGGCTGAAATTGGCCAAGGCGATATCTGATTTGCCATGACTTTGAAATGGCTGATGTTTGACCTTGGAGGTCAGGATGCCGCGGCTTTCGGGGAAGTAAGTTCCTAGAGAGTCTGCACCAGGCCATTTTTTGTTGACAGCGGCCAGCCCACATCGGTGGAAAAAGGGATTGCTCAGAGGGTTTTGCCATTCGATTTGCAGTTGTTCAATTTGATCTTGTGAGACGCAGTTTTGAAGGGATTTGAAGTCTTGTCAACTTTGATGTTTGAGTAGGAGAAGATTCTTGTTAAGTTGATGTGAGACTACCTTGCTAGATTGCACAGGGTTTTATCCAACAGAAATGTCTGACTATGCCAGGTTGACCAGGGGGAACCGGCCTGGAGGTCAGTGGAAGCGTGCTCACGAGGGATCAAGGGTTGAGAACTGCGAGATTAAGAGATGTCATTTGTATTTGCAAGAAGGGGTCACGGCAAACAGTAGAAAAGGGTTTGTAGCTAGCAGGGGTTCTAGCTTCCTTTGATTGCTGTGAACTTTGGACCGTATGACATTTGATGTCGAGTCGATTGGTTGCAGTTGAAATGAAGAAAAAGGGTTTGAGAGTTTGAGACATGCAGTGGAAGTCGAACAGTAGCACAGGGATTGTATCTAGCAAGGGTTGGCTAGTTTCCTTTTTACTTACTGTTTGACGCTGTGTGAAGCTTTTGGCACGTTGAATGTGACAGGTTTTTGTCTTCAGGAATCTTCGTTTGCTTGACCTGTCAGGTGACCACTTGAGACCTTGTATGGTTTCAGGGTCCCAGTGATGACAGAAGCAGAGGCGAAGAGCTGGCTCCGTGCAGCTCTTTGAAGCCCTGCTGTCTGAGGGACCTTGAATCCTTGTTGCTTTGCTTGCTTGGTTGAAGCATGGTTGATTGGTTGATCTTGGTTTGAACTTGCTTGAAGCTCGATGTTCTCGATTCGTTGACGTTCGATCGACTTGGAGACCATTTTGAACCACAGGAGTTGAGATCTTAGTTGATGCTCGAACCTTAGTTGCTCAGAGAAAACGAATCGAAGAGAAGAAGAAGACAAGAAGACCAGGAGAAGGTACGAGGTGACCCAAGAAGGGGTGTGAAAAGTGTGGGTAGCACGCCTGTACAGTGTGTGGATCACCTAGTACCTCTGTGTAGTGGAACTTTTTCGTTCTCTGTCCTTGGGGTTGGAGCTGAGTAGGGATCTTCCTCCTTGGAGTGTGTTTGCTTTGACCACCTTAGCAGGACTAAGTGGAATGAATGTGACCAGAAGTGGCTAGGAGCATGTCTAGAGAAGCCCTAAGTATAGAGCTGTAGTGCTTGAGATGAGCTGTGTATAGCCTAGCTTTGCTTGAGAGTGTTTGGAGATGCTTTCTTGTACTTTTAGTATGTTTTGGACGACTGTGACCAGTCAGACCTCTTCAGAGAAGAGAAGGACGAACAGACATACAGTCAAACCGACTGTTATGTTTGGCTCAAGAGCGGGATTCGCAAAAGGGTCGCACACGCTTCCGTGTTTTCACAGGATTGGCATACAACCTGCACAGCAACTCCTTCTTGACTCGAACTGGGTGACTTGTGCAGAACCTGCACACACAGCGCCGACTCGTGCAAAAAAAATGGCTGTTTGTGAGCCGACCTGCTGTGAGCCAGCTCTTGGCCGGAAGTTGGCGCGTGGCAGTGGGTCTGTGGACGACTGGCACCCATGTAACTTCACACACAGCGCCTCCACTCGCAAAAAAATGTGGACGATTGGCACCCAGGTGAGAAGGTTTCACCTGTTTCACCAGAGCTATGCATGCCAGAGAATGTCTGCAGCCATGTGGTGGTTGTGCCTTTGAAATGCTGTTTTCCGCGCGGCCTACCAAGCATTGCAACGTGATGATTTCTGCGGATCAGCAACCTTCGCGCTGCGCACATGCTGCCTTGATCTTGAACAAGGTTGATGTGCTTGCAACCTGACCTTGAAGGACAATAGCACAAGTCCTGAAACAGCAAACTCCTTTGTGGCGAATTCGGGCCCACACAGTCTGTTAGTCACTCTTTTGTCACTTAGCACAGGCGAAACTCTGCCACATTGGTTTTGGTGGGTTGGTTTGTGTTTTGTTGCTTTCCCCCACCAACCACATGGCGTCCGTACTCGTGAAAAAAATACGGCAAACAGGAACTCCCTCTGGATGACATGTATGTTTGCTTTCCCGTGCAGATTGTCCAGCTTCAGTTTTCTTCTTTTCAAATGATGAAATGGCACGTTCGACTTGAATCTGAAATTTGCCGCAGGCCAATCACAAAAAGTCTCGTGTTTTGTTGACTTTCACCAACTGCGCACGCCAACTTGTGATGAAGAGACGAGTGAAAAGTGAGAGGGACTTCCACAACAAAAAAATCACTGCTGAAACCAACGATGTTGATTGGGATGATCACGGCTATGATCCAAAATTTTTCCTTGTCATTGGATTCCTTCATCTCTGAATCGACAGTGGATGTTGCCTTTCTCTTTCGAGAATGCCTTTGTAGCCGTCCTCAAATGCAACCTGGCACTCCCAAAACAAAATAAGTTTCGGCAAGCGTTTGGTTTCTTTGTCCGGACTTGGTCGCTTCGTTGTGATCTCTGAATGTTGCTCTCTGAAAGTGCTTGCACTACGTCCGCAACAAATCTTCCATACAAACATTCAGAGAAGCGCCGTGAACAAGCGATGGCAATTATCTGCCCACTAGACCTCAACATGACAGAAAAAAACAAAGATTGTGAAGACGATGGACATCAGACAGACAAACCTACTCAGAGATTAGAAGGAGGAACTTGGAACCTTGCAAGTGAAGGACATAGAGTGATGTTGGAGGCAGCAAATGAGGGATCATTGAACAGAACATTCAAACCAGGAAATAGAGAAATGACAATCTGATCAAAGTATGTAGAATGCAGGCAAGACAGATGTGTGGGAGATTCCAGAGGAAAATTGAGCAACTGAGTGCAAGACATTGGAATCTATTAGGATGAAGACAACAAGACTTAGCAGATGTAGTTGACAAACAAATTAGCAGCTGCTTCAAACAGCAGAGTACAGAAGGGACAGCCCAGATGTTGATCCAGCAGAAGTACGTTTTAGGAACCCCGTTCCTGAAAGAGGTGAATAAGCCTGCAAAGATAAGAGTTGAATGGACGGAAATGGACTGCAATGGTGGGGTGAGCTCAAAGACGCAAATTGGGTCGCCCACACTACCAAAAAAGAGTGTGTAGCATTGTCCTTGTGAGTCAAAGTCACTATGTACAGCATCACATGCATCACTGAGGCCTACCCGCAGCCGTTTTTCGATTCAGAAAAGATTCGCAATTTTGAGTGTTGCAAAGTGGGCTGGCATGTTTTGAGGAAATTGTTTCCCGTTCTTAGCATGTTAGTTTTTGAAAAATCAACCAATCAATCAATGATGTAAAGGATCGGCCTTCTGCATTCCGAGAACACTTCATTGATCCCATGTCTTGTTCAAACAATAGCACCGATGAAGCGCGTGCAGGTCAGACCCGTAAATTTGCAGGTAAAAATAACCGATTGAAACTTGCTGTTTGCCATGTTCTTGCCGTACGCTGCCGTTTTGCTCAAAGCAGTGGAAAAGTAACATGGACAGTTGATGCATTGCGCTTTGATGCTCATGGAGCGAGGGTGTGAAAACGAATATGACGATGATTTCGTACCCAACAGGCGTAACATGAAGGACGGCACTTCAGTTTTCAAAAATAACAGCAATACTTCAGCAGGATGCTGGAACTGATTTTGGACTTTGCCCTCATGATAAATCGAACATGGTGAGCAGTGCCGAGTGTCAGGCGGCTAAGGTGCGACGTTTGGTTTGATTTGCGGTTTTGTTTGGTCGGACAAACGCAACCTTGGCCATGCCACCCGCCACTTTTTTTGCAATCATTTGCGATCATCACAGCAATTAGCTAGTGACACATTTTTTTTTGCCAATTTCGGATGCACGATTTTTCATGGGTGCCAACCGCCAATGTCCATTTGCCAGAGAATTTTGCATTATGATGCCAATGCAATACTTTCATTTCAGTAAAGGTCCAAAAAAGACAGCAGGAACAAGGAAACAGTGATGATCATTTGTCGAGTGCTGAAGCGTTCTTCCGATTGAGACGCATCGCCGTTCATCCAAGTCCATCACTGTCCGGCAATGGAAGTTGCTGATGGTCCTGGGTGCACGGCCAAAGTCGCTTTGCATCTGACTGGCAGTGTTTTTTTTGTGATCAAACTTACGGTTTTTCTCATTGCAACAGGCATTCTCCAAGCACTTGGTCAAGCGCACGCGTCCAGGAGATTCACGGATGTGACCAGCGTGCCCCACTGATTGAATTTCACCATGCTTCCTTTCAACGCCCTTTGCGCTTGGAGCAGAGAGGTGGGAGCAGAGAGGTGGTTGCATCAACCTCCCTGAGACACCCATGCTCCTCGTGGGCACCAATTTTCACAAATGTAGACCGTAGACTCCGTAGACCAGTCTACCCAAGCTGTGAAGGTGAAGGACACGTAGACCTGCAACTATGAAGCAAGTAGGAGAAACGAGAATCAGTTGCTTGTTTTTGTTTGTTTGTTTTTAAATCAATGTATATATACAATACATACATACATATATATATATACACACACATGGGTTTCACCTTTTGTGTCTACGGTCTTTGATTGAGTGCTTGGGACTTGAGCGAAGATGCAGGTTGAAGGGACACAATATAAAAGATGTCTCTAGCTCCGACTGCGCTGCGTGCTTTGCTGAGTGGCAAAGAGCTTGGCAGCAAGCACTATCTAAGAGGGTTCTTGTGCACAACAGGGCTCATTTGGTTGTCCTAGATTTGTTCGCTTCGTCCTGGGAAGGGACGTGACTCTTGTGGCATTTCCCAAGTGATTGTTCCTCGCTTCCTAAGTATAGTACTATTCCATTTGCTCACTTGAAGTTGATTCAATTCATCTCCCACGCCACTCTCTCAGCAAAATAAGGGCATTTTGTGGGAGGCGCTCGTTCTTTTTTCCAGCCGTCCGCAAGCCGTGATCCCTAACACCAAGGGAGACATCAGTGAAGGCCAGTCAGGACATTCCATCGACATGCCTCCACAACACCAACGACTGCATCCACCAAGAAGAAGGCGAACAAGAAGAAAGTAAGTGCAAGAGCAGAAGCAAGAAGAACAACAAGAACAACAAGCCCCAAGGGAACATGCGTGACACAAATGCTTGGTTAAGAAACTCTTCTTATTAGCATGCAGCATTAGGCGCAGGAGGCAAAAAGTCAGTTGGAAGCGCTAAGGGCTACATGAAAGCACGCCTCACGCATCCTCACGCTATTTAAAGGATCGCTGTTCACTCGCGTGAAGAAACTCCCTCCAAACGTGTGGTCAAGGCTCTTCTTGGCACCACGTCCTCTCTCCTCTCCTCGCTCGTGCGGTGTTTCGCGCCGTCCTAAGAGGTGCCACGTCGGAGAGCTTCGTGCAGGGCACTTCGTCGGTGCTGTGGCCTGCGGCCACGAAGCTGGCGACCTACCTTTGCGATGGCGACGACGGAAGACCTGGGGCGCCGGGTGGAAGGCCTTGGGCAGCGCTTTCGGTGCTCGAAGTGGGTGCTGGCTTGGGCTTGGTGGGAGCCTTGGTGGCACGAAAACATGGTGTTTGCTATGCCTCGAACCTGTTGATTTCGCGAATTGCAAACAGTTGCACAACGTCGTGGGCGTTTTGGACGGTTCTCAGGTGCAGCCTGCGCGGCCTTGGGTGCAAAAGTGGTGCTCACGGACTGTGGTGTGGCCGTGCCCTTGCTGAAGCGAAACCAGGAGACAAATTCGACAAGTGCTCAGTTTGATTGATGTGGTGACGTCCCAGATGATGAAACTAATTTTTGTAAACTTTAATCTACCTAGACTTTATACAGTTCTTCTTCGTTCGAGACTCAGAAGCATTTGTTTCCTCATCCAGGAACTCTTGGCAGCGGACTCTGTGAACGTAGAGGTTTGTCAACTGGACTGGGGCTCCAAATCGGACGAAAGTGCCATACTCAAAGAGCATGGGCAGTTCGAGCTCATCGTTGGCAGTGACATCATCCTCTCCTCCTTCGAAATTTGACTCCTTTTGAGCACATTTCTCAATTCTTGTCCTTGCCACGGTCTTTATTTTTGAATCAATGTTTTTTTTTTCTATTTTTGGGTTGTGAGGACTTGGATAAACTGTTCAGCAGCTGCTACGCCTTGCTAGCGCGATCTCCGGAGGCCAGGCTTGTGCTTGCGTTTGAGTTCCGAGAAGATTGGGAAGGAATCAGCAATTTCATTGGATGGGCAGAAGAGGCACAGATGGAAGTGCAACATCAGGAGCTGGGGGATCCCGATGATGAGATTTATCTCTACATCTTCCGATGGATCCTTTAAGCACAATCCGAGGAATGCAGTCGCACAGAGGCATTCTCACTTGGAGTCGCTCAGTTCTTCCCAACTGGCCCAATTGGACAAATTCAGGACATGTCGAGGACGCGTGACGGGGCCAGGTTGCCCTACAAGTTGTGGACCACTCCAAGCTTTCAAGGCTAGATTGACAAATGGTCTTGCTATATCTCACATGGGAGATGGAACCTCCATGGAATGCTGCAGCTATGGACATTAACGTGCTCTGGCTAGCTTGGCACGGTGCACTCGCAGTGCGAAAGCAAGTCCAAAGATTCGGTGAACTCGCTTGGTGCCAAAACAGCTTGGGCGAGCCACAATGGGTCCTGCGGGTTCACGTGGAATTTCCTAATTCTTCGCAGTTCATGTCAGTTTTGAAGAAGACGTTCCCTGGAGTCTATTCGCTAGCGAATTCATCCCGTCTTGGTTCATGTGATCGGGTCTCATTGGCTTGTTAGTTTGATTTGCAGGTTGGATATAGAGACAATTTGGCAGACAAATCCACCAACATGCTACCGTATATTGGTCAAAAAGACTCAGGGCTGGACATTGATGGGTGGGCGGACAAGTTCTGTTGATCCCTGCATCTTCTCAATCCTTCATACACATATATATATATATAGGCTTTACATAGTAAGACGATTCCCAACTGATTGAGGGGACCAGTCAAGGCGATTCTTTGTGTTGTCACACCTTTGACAGGGTGGGCATCATGGTGTGCCAAGCTCAGACATGAAAACCTTGCTTGCAGACTTGGCTATTTAAGGAGTATGGCCAAGTTCTAAATTCATCGTTTTGCCAACTGCCAACTGCAAACTGTCTGATGAGTAGTGAGACAAAGAGTCCTAATTGAAGTTAAGACAGAGGGCCTGGGGCTCCTGCTCAATACATTTGTTTTCAAGTACTGCCTTTTGAATGTGTAGTGTCAACATTCGAAGCCCTAAGTTAAAGTTTTGGTGCTCTCGGATTTGTTGTCTCTTGTTGAATCAGTTCAAGACACATGATCCACCCGCTTGTTCAGGTCAAGCAGGTGGTGCTTGAAAACTTCAAATCATATGAAGGGTGCCGACCTGGGTGTCGATCTTCGTCGGACTTCGTCGGACCAGGTGTGCAAGGGATGTTTCATGCTAGCTAGCAAATGAAGACAACCCATGTGCAAGGGATCCTTTTCGATTGGTACAAGTGATATTTGGGACTTTGCATCTCTCTCTCTCTCTATGATATACATAAACTACCCGCCGGGCTCGTTTCCGCGCATGCGGTTGAACACATTCTTCAAAGGCTGAGGTGCTCAATGATGACGAATGTCCGGTGTGTGACTGTGTTTTGCATTGATAGGAAAGGTTTGTCGCAGCATTCAGTACATGAAAACAACTAAAAAATCGTAGCGATTTTGACATCGAAATGCTACGAGACTGTGGTTTCGTGCGAAAAGAACGCGCGCTTTTTCATCCTCCAGCATCATCATCAGATCAAAGTCTGTTGGACAACTTCTGACCCAGCTTCGTCAGAAGATCGTCTTTATTCTGGTGCCAGCGCCATTGCCACTGTCGAATGAACTTCATGATGTTTGGGTTTATATCGTCACCGTCACGTGAACGCAAGCTAGTGGGGACCGACTCCTTACACAAACGCCACATACCATCAATGGCACCGGTGTGGATGAGCAGCTCTCCTGACCGCAACCTTTTCTTTACACAAAACACTCCTTTGGAGTGATTGCAAGATTCGTGGCGCAGACCATAGTCTGAACGATCGGCATAGCTACGGTCGCGTCCGAGGTAGACGATAAATGTGGAACGAACACACCACAAAGCTAGACTACAACGGTTCAGTCAGGGAGACCCGGCTTTATCTTCGTATGCACTATGATGCACTGAACATGCAACGTGTTTAGCCCCCCACCCAACCGCTTCCTAATACAAATGCGCACAACATGAACATCACTAGCCCCCCACCCAAACCCCCCGAACCCCCCCTGCCCCCATCTTCCATATTCCAATTCGTGTGTTTGTGTGTGTTCTTGCTCCCCAAAAGGACTGTATGAAAAATCAGCTTCACTACACGCGCGGTTTTAAGCCCATTAGCATAAACTAGATATTATATATAACATGTCAGTGAGAATGAACACCATGAGTCGAAGCTTTACGATCTGAAGTCCACTGGCCTTGCTTATCCCAGTACTTCCAATTTCATCACTTGCGTTTTGCGCTTCTACTAGCAAGAACTTGTTACTAGTAGCTTCTTGTTAGGGGTAGTAATGCCCTTGTTACTTGTAGCGATGCACTTGTCACTAGTTGCAACTCAGCTAACCAACTACAGCATGTTGGATGCCCGGTGCATTCGAAGCCTCGGTCCAGGCAAGTCTCTGTGGGTCCCTTCAAGAAGTTCACCTGTGTGGTGGGTCTGGAGGCTCAGGGCGAAAGAACTCTGAGGACAATTACCCGCTCTGGACGCACTGCAAGCTCCAGGTGAGTGTTCTTTATTTCTTGGACTTGGGAAGGGCAGTCATCACAAGTTTGTTGTTTGCGTTTCGCATAAGCTAGACGCCTGCGCAGCTCACGGTGCACCCTCAAAGGTAGGCCAGACTTGATGTACCCTTTTACAGTTGATGGCCCAAATCAAGCTCAACAACCTTCCGGGGTGCGGATCTCACACCCGAGCCAGCCACCAAAAAAACGGGGCCTGACCGTCCCTGACATGTCCTGATGCCCGACGCTTCCGGCTGCCGTTGGCTGCCCAGGCCCCAATGGCGCCGGGAAGTCCAACTTGATGGACGCCGTGAGCTTCGTGCTGGGCGTCCGGACACGGCACCTGCGCAGTGACCGGCTCCAGGAGCCGGACGAAGCGGTGAGTCAAAGAGGTCGTCGTGATGTGGGGTAAGGTGGTTGGCTTGGTGAAGGAAAAGGAATTTTGGAATCACATCCTCCAGATGCCTTGGTTCAAGAAAGCTCTTGTGCTCAGCGGCAAGGAGCTGGTCCATCGCAAGGAGCAAGAACCCCTCAGTGCTGTGGCCGGACGCCGATGTTCAGTTGAGCTTGCTTGGGCCTTGAGCAAAACGTCAGCTGCTGCTTCAGTCCAGCATGTTTTCTTCTTATATGGTTTGTTTTCTGCTGCTTCATGTCAACGTTTTAGATCTACTGTAATAATTTATGAAGATAGCCAACCTGCAATGACAGATGCCTTGCCACGGAAAACGATTTCGTTGAAATGTCTAGGTCTATGTTGATGAGTCCGGAGGCGGCTGTCAGGGCTGCAATAAAAGCGGCCAACTTGTATTCGGGCGCCTACTGATGGTTGAAGCAGTCCTAAAGCCAACAAGTTCATACAGAATCTGAATGTTAGTTGCTGTATTGCTGTAATTGTGCATTTCTTCTCTGATTCATGCATGCTAGGCGGCGAGACAAATGCCCTTTGTTAGTGTCAAATGGTCAATGACAAGCGGTCAAACATACAAAGGCAATCTTTCGTTGGCCCTGTTTTGGCAGACCAGCCTAAAGAGAAAACCTTCCGAAGGGCTGGGAGCCTCAGCATGCTGGTGCAGATCGGTTTTCAGGGTCTCAATACTTGTTCATACCCGCTGAGCGAAAAGAGCAAAAACACCCGGCTCACCGATTGGAACCTTCGCTTCGCCAAGCAGAGTTGGAGCATGTCCAGTGACACCCCTCGGAGAATGAGTCGGAGTATCTGCCGCCCCACGTGGAGTTTCTCGCTCTTTGGAGCAAGTCTATGTATACATACATACATACATACATACATACATACATACATATATATATATATATGACCAACCTGCTTCATGACGAGCCGCGAGAGCGGCCGCGAGCTTCAGGTCATCCAGCCGGCTGCTGAGGTCTGTGTTTTCGGGTCGTCGGGAGGTGTTCAGCTCATGATGTTTCCAAACTAAACTGTGAAGGATTGGAGAGTGCACAAACTAAAGACATGCTAAGTAAGAAAGATTGACCCTGTTCAACCCTGTTTCAAGTTTGATTGGAGAGTGCATGACCGGGGTCACTGCTCTTCGTTGAAAAGCGAGGAAGAATCAACAGCTGATCCTCATCGCTGTTTCCAACATGCTGTTTCTCTTTAATCAGTTGGATTCGTTCCTTTTTTGTTTCCAAACTTGCTTGTGCCACTCGCGCTGCTCATTGAAAAGTCGTGATTCGGAGGCACGCTTCCAGATCAACGGAGAGGCAGTCTCACAGGAGTTCTACCTGAGTAGCCTGGAGGACCGCAAGAGTCTGGTTCTTTTGTCTGAAGCTCGACCATGAGAAGAATCCCAGCCCCGCCCGGTTAAGACCGGAAGTGCTTGGAAGTTTCTGCAGATGAAACGAAGCATTGCTCAAAAACTTTAAAGCTTGCCTGTCGCCAGCTGTCCATTTGTGAGCCGGAGGTTGTGTGTTAAAGCTTGGGCAGCCATATGGATGCCAAGAATTTGACAAAGCCCACCTACCAAACAAGCGCATCAGCGCGTCCGAAGCCGAACTGGACGGCCCAGGAGATCAACATCCTGTCAAAGGCCAGGAACTTCTTAGTCTTCCAAGGTGTCGGGGCCTTGGAGCCTGAACTCCCTGGCCGTTGAGATGCGGAACATCCTTTTTATTTGCTCCGAGGACGTGGAGGCCGCGGCCCAGCGCCAGGGCAAAGAACTCACTGGCTTCCTAGAGCAGGTGGGGTGACCAAAATGAGCGGGACGGGTGACTTCTGGAGGATATTCACCAACTGAACCAAACGTCATCCAGTCGTCCGGATCGCAGGTCTCTGGCTCCATCGCCATGCGAGCCGAGTACGAGAAGCTGGCTTCCGAGAAGGCAGGGCCGAAACGCCCTGAAGCCGTCCGTGCAATGCCAAGGACTCTAAAGAGGACATTTGTCCTTCTAGAATCTAGAACAACATTCACTCAATTTGCAACCACCCATGCTCTCAGTGAGGCCTTTTAAAGGTTTTGTTTGTTTGTTGGATGGAACTTCCAAAGATATATGACGCCATGAAAGCCAAGGCCAGTAAAGAGGATGTGGCTCGTGATCTCTACACCAGGACAACCGCGCTTGTTGGCTATGTGATTCTTTTGTTGAAAATGACGATTTGACCAACGCGATGGTGACGTAGTTTGAAGGGCCTTTCTTTGCTGTGACATACAAGCAGAACAGAAAGGATCTTAAGTCTTACACACAGCTCACCATTTGAGGTTCGGTTTGCGGGTGCATATTGCACCCATCGCTGAAAGCGAGGAAGAGAAATGCCCAAAATGAGAAGAAGAGGATGTCGCAACAGAAGGAAGAGGCAGAGAGGTGCAGCAAAAAAGCCCGAGCAAGTTTGTCCTTGAAAGGATTGATTCCTCCTATATATATATAATGTATGTATGCATATGTAGTATATACATATGTATGTATACACATCAATTATGGTAATCGTTGTCTCTCCTTTCACATCAGCAAAGTTTATTGTTTTCAGAGGCTCTGGGATAAAAGCTCGTACCCATTTTGGAGGTTGAGTAGAAGTCACAACGCAGCATAAAAGCCTTGACGTGCCTTTGTAGCTGTTTAACCATTGTTTCGAGTCAAATTGAGGGTCTCATTTTGTATCAAGTATTCTCTAATCCAAAATTGAAGTGTTTTCGCAGAATCTTGTCTTGACACTGAGAGCTACACCCACCCTGGTCACAAATGTTGACATGCACCCTGTCAGGTATCGTTCCATTGAGTTGGAAAGGCGGAAGCTGCAGGCAGCGCCAAGTGCAAGCTATTTTGGGGCTTCAAGGGGAGCCACGTTACTTACGTCCTAAACGGAACTTGCCGCCTTGAAGAAAGACAGTTGCGTGCTTGACAGTGCTTGATTCCAAAATAAATCAAGCTCCCAGCAGCGTTGCACAACTCTGGATCTAGGGCTTTCTGTCTCGTTCTATTCGGGTATGGGCAGCAGTTCTGCCCTAGCCTAAAATCACACAAGTGTTGCTGATCAATTGTGGCAAACGAAAGGGAGTTTCTGGTCACATGCCCATTAGCATGACAACCAACAGACCTGTCTGACACATTGGCCCGATGGCCACAATGCTCAGACGGCTCAGAAGTGCGCTGTGCAGGCGGAGTTTGTGCTATTCAGGGCCTGCTGTGCTGACACCAAGGGCGAGGAGTGGGAAGTGAGAAGTGAGACTTGTTTGTCGCAAGGGCAATCATTAAAACCGCCAGCCGACAGGCTAGGCGAGAGTTGTTTTGCGAACGAAGTGAGCCAAATGGCATGGGCAAAAGGGGGTGTCAAGGGGCGTCAAAAGTGTGTATTTTGTGGCCCTCGTCATGTCGATAATGCATAAATTTGCTAGATTGCATCATTAGCATTCTAAGTATACTTGTAGGTAGGTGAAGGGGAGAGAGTGTCAGCGAGATAGGCTGAAGGGATAGAGAGATAGAGACACAGAGGCCAGAGAGATTGTTGAGTAGATGTGGCTAGATGTACAAACAGGATAAGTAGATGTGGATACAGTAGATGTGTGTAAAGGTGGATTGGTGACTGGATTCCCTGGCTTTCGTCTCCTCCCTTTTCAGGTGGTCGAGTGCTTTTTCCAGCATCAGGTTGTTGTTGGTTGTTGTCAATCTTTTACATGTTTCTACAATGTTCCTTCAGCTCACTCCCTGGCTCAGTGGACATGCCTTACTAGGACTACTGTAACATGCGTGTGGGTGTGGGGAAGGGGTCATTTTTGGCATCCTACCAATGCGGTTGTGCACAAGAGACCTAATCTTCGGCTGCTTTTTGTAGCAGAGGCGAGTGATTTCACAAGAGATGTCTTGAGATGTCGATGCTCTTAGGACGTTTCTTTTTCAATTTCTTTTTTCGATGTCTTTGTTTGCGCCCAATAAATCCTCCAAGCTACGAGTACTTTTTGCCGGTGACCTGAGTGGCCTGAGAGGAGATTGCAGCAAGCATTCAAGATTTGAGGTCGGAGGTTGATGAGGCTCAGGCAGACTCGTGCGCAAATCTGGAATGAACCTTGTGAAATCCGAAAAAGTTCAGCTAACCCAGTAGCCCAACAAGAAAACCTAAAAACAAGGGGGTCTGCAAAAACAGGGGACAAGACAGCGCGCACACAACAAACATTGGAACAAGCCAAAAGAACGCCCGCCGGGGACCCGCCATATTAATGTGTTTACCAACAGGGTTTCCTTCCTTTGGATGAGGCAGATCGAAAGGAGGCAGATCGTCAGGTGGAGGAGGCTGAAAAAGAGCGTGCGCAGGCCAGGGAGTGCAAATTGGGCAGAATATCTATGTGTAATAGAGATGGCAGCGTGGCAAATCATGTAGGTCGCACAGGAGAGCGGGCTGTGAATTGATATCCTGACGCTCATACTTAGTTAGACTAAGTCTTCAAAGTCACTTGGTTCATGCACATGTGGCCTACATACATTTCCCAGTCCAAAGATGTGAGACACATAGCAGCCGAGCCCAGCCGAGCCCAGCCGAGTTGTGACCGTTCCCTCCGCCCAGACTGGCGCAGGTGCAGTTGGCTGTCAGTGAAGTTGTTGGCACCTGAGACATACTGAGATCAAACAACTCAACAACAGACTGGCTACTGAAGCTTTGCCAAAGTTTTTTCTACGAAAATCATGGGCCAACAGCTGAGATCTTTCTACTCACTTCTTAGCTATCGAGAATCATTGTCTTGATCATGAGCCTTGGATTCCCTTCGCCAGCATCTTCAACACTGGAGTTATGTGTGATTTTCTTGTGAGCTGAGCGTTTTTTTACTGAAGAACAAGAACAAGCCCTTGCAACCCAAACATGGGCAGTCAATGACTGCTTGCGTTCGAAAACGGAGTCATTCCTCGGCGAAAACAGAAGCTCCTCAGCTGCTCGGACCCATTCAAGGAGAAGCGTCTACACAGCGCCAAAAGTCACTCGCACCAGCTGAGTCCTGAAGAAGTTCAGGTGGCGGGCCCGGACGAAGCTCGCACCGAGCAAGAAGAAGTTCACAAGCTTCACCCAATTTCAAGCCCATCCTCCTTTCTGCAGTTCTTATTCCTAGTAGCGATGCCCTTGCTGTATCGCACTTGGAATCAATCCAGGCTCGCAGTGAGCTTCAAGCAGTGGAAAAGCGACAGCAGGTGTGGAGCAGCAGTAGAATGGCCTTGCACTTGGCCTTTCTTTAGGTGTAATCAGCAATTGAGTTTTTTCCATTTCATTACCTGAGACATCGAAATTCCCTTGGAAACACTTGATGAATTCGGCAGGAAACCGTGCGCCAGCAAGAGTTGGATAAGGAGCGCCAGAAGCGCCTCCAGATACAGGCTGGCGACTTTGGCGACGGAAAACGCCATGAAGCTTCGGAAAACCGAGGGGGAGCCGTTTTCTCGCAATGCGTTGGACCCAGAATTTGTGGAACCCAGCCACCCTCTAATTTTATGTTTGCCAAACCCCTTTATTCTAGAACTTGTGCATCTTGAAAAAACACAACAGAACAGCAACAAAAAAGGCATCACAACATGAAGCCAGAAACACAAAAGCAATCATAAAAAGCAAAATAACAAACAAAATTGCCAGCAAAAATAGAACAACACAGCATTTTTGTAACAGGCAAGACAATACCTTTGCAACAAACAGCGTGACAACGTGTTGACAAAGAGGAGTTACCTGGTAATTACTTACAAAGCAAAGCCAAGAAAGAACAAACAAAGCAAGAAGAGCCAAAATTAGAGTCTAATTCTAGTAGACACATACGTAACATCTCCTCAATCAAGCCTAAACAAGAAGCTTTTCAGCCTGCACTCGGTTTGAAACAGGAGTGCTTTTTTCATCCGGAATCGTTGCGGGAGAACGGCTGACTCTGAGGCAGCAGAGCTGAACGAGCGCGTTCGGCAAGTGGAGACCGAGCTTGAAACACTGAGAAGCGAAAGGCTCCTGAGAGCGTGACCGTTTTGGTTGAAATGGGTCACCACAAGCGAGGTGGCACAGCATATTGTTCCCACTACAAGCTATGGTTCCCCCATAAATACAGTTGTTGAGGTGTTTCGGCATTTTGGGATTTGCGCCTTTGACTGAAAAGCGACCTGCTTCATGCTCCAAAAACCAGGCGTGAGATGCCCTTGACGGAGGAGCAGTGGCGCCAGTTTCGACATGCCCAGGTGCCAGATCTGCCGCTGATGGGATCAGATTAATTGCTTGCTGTTTGGAGTCTCTTGCGTGCGAATGGGACAGCCACAATACATGATTACTTTTTCGTTCTTTTTTCGTATCCACAGTCTGTGAATCTTAATGTACAAGAAAATTCCGGCTGCATAGTGGCATAGCTGACCTGCTAATTGTCATAGATATTGGCCATGTCAACAGCCACACACGCATCTATTCACCATTCCACTCTTGCTCAGCCGCTGGCCCTCCTCATTGCTTTCAAGTTTGAACGTCGTTCTGTTCAGGAGGAGGCTGAGCGCTTGACCAGCGTTCAGAGCCAGGAGGTTCCGGGCCTCAGAGGGCCCGCACTGAAGGATCAATAACATGAGCGTCCTTCCTAGTAGCGATGCCAGGAGCCCCCAGTAGCGAACATTGTTCCTAGTAGTAAGGCCAGGAGCCCCCCAGTAGCGTCCTTGCTCCTAGTGGGGATGCCAGGAGCCCCTGGTAGCTTCGTGTCCCTAGTAAGGCCAGGAGCCCCCAGTAGCGTGCTTGCTCCCAGTAGCGATGCCTGGAGCCCCTAGTAGCTTCTTGTTCCTAGTAGTACGGCCAGAGCCCCTGGTAGCGTCCTTTGCTTTTGTAGCACTTGGGTGAACCAGCTTTGTTGGAACCACGGTTTTAGTTGGACTCCGTGCAAGTGCCTGGGACCATATTGGCATTGGGACGACTGCCAGACAAGACTTAGAGTACCAATGGGCCAAAGGCAAAAAGAAGAATGCATTGCTTAAAGGCATGAGTTCCTGCTGTCAGCTCAAGAGAATAGTGAGAGAATGAAGTGGCAAGCAAACTGTTCAAACTCATGGAAGTATGACATGGCATGACATCACCTTCCTGGGTCCTTGAAGAGTCCAGTAGGTAGGCTGAAACGCTCGGTGTCAAGACAGCTCAGTGCTCACGGTCTCCTGGTCGATTCTTCAGGTTTCCCTCCGTGAGCCGTGTCCGGTGCGCGGGATGCTTCAACCCACCGTGGCTCGCCGGTCCGAGCTTCGAGCGGCTCCGTGGGACGGTTCGGTGGTTGGCGCGAAGGCCAAGGACCTCGAGCAGCGCATCAAGGCGCATCAGAAGCAGAAAGCCATGGCTGACATGGACCGCCGCGAGGTGGACGACCGGGGGTGGGAGCTGGGGGGGGTGGAAGAATCCAAATGGTCTCTGCCACAAAAAGGAAGGCAGCAGCATGGTGTGCCAGGTCTTACTAGCCGATTCTTGGTTTGTCTTCTCAAACAAGTTTGATGATGGATGCACCCTGGTTGTTCCTGATGAACCTGCTTGGCTTAGTTTGATGCTTGGGGAGAGGACGCCCAGGTGGACATGTCGACGGTGCCGAGTTTGTGAGCGTTGACTGAGACCGAGTCAACTAGATAGACCTGAGGTGACTCGGTGTGGGCTGCCCACAAGAGGGTGAATCATTCCTGTGAAGAGATCACAATACCACTGAAAAGAATCTCAGTTCGAGCAATTTCCCCAGTTTCACCGTGCATCAGGCTGACTTGCGCCTTCGGCGATTGAAGCAGAAGGTGTGGTCTCTCAGTTCGTTTCTGGTGCGCCACGTGCGCCACTCCAAAGGACCAAGACGAACACGAGGACTTCAGACATGTTGAGAGCCGCGTTCTGCTCCTTTCGACCTCCGCGTTTGGAAGCGAGGTCGAAGCCCTGACATCTGCCCTGAACGTCAAGCAACAAGCGCAGGGGTGCTCTGTGGGCTCCAGAAAGGCCTCACCAAGCGTATTGGTGTTGGTTGGCATGTTCTTTTCTCGTGCAATTCGTAGAGTTCGCACGAAAGTCGATGTATTGCAGTGGCTTGTGCTGCAGCATTGCCAGCATCATTCCGGATGGCTTGTCATGATCTCGTAAGGTAAAGTATGACACTCTGTGTAGGTGCTCAACTCAAGTGTGACGGAAGTGAGGTGATGCTAGCATGAAAAGTTAATGGTAATGGCCTTTATAGGCATGGCAACATATGGATGTGGCTCAATCCTGGAGCAAAGGTTCTTGGTTTTAAGTTTTCTCTTGTACCAGCGGGTCTGACTGGTACCCAGTCCTTGAGATGTCACCCCTTTCAAAGCCTGCTGGGGCGCTAGGAGGGTGCTGTTTCCATATTCATCCTACACACCCATTTGATGCTCCTTCCACCAAGGCGGGAGAGTCAGCAGAAGGAGCTAGAGCGGGTGACCAAGGAGTTGGAGGCTGCTTGAGTCGGCAAACATAAAAGTCGTTGGGTCGATTCGATGGTGAACTGGATTCTTCAACGGATTCTTTAAACATAGATACTGTAAGGATTAATATGATTGAATATGCATCGTTTCATTGGATTCTGGCATCACTTGGGGCCGGGATTTGAGATTTTCACCTTTGGAGTCCATGCTTGCACGTGTTTGCCTTTGCTCAGGGTATGGCGGAAGGGCAAAAATCCCGAGGCTTGGCTTGGCTTTTGTGGGCGGTTTGAGGGCTAGAGAACTGCAGACGGTGCATACAGCATAAGCATGCGCGTTTATGCCTTCTACAAGGCAGTGCGCGAAAGAAGCTGGAGGATGAACGCCAGGAAATCATGGAGGACCTGTCCATCGAGGTCGCTTCTCGACGCTTTCTCCGCCCACACCAGTTGTTTTCAGAAACAGCCCAATCGCATTGAGGTATCGCCTTCGATTGAATTTGACTCTACTCCATCATATGGTATCCCATTGTATGCATCCTAATTACTGAATGTTTCGACCCCTTGTATATGTATATTTCAAGGGGGTCCAATGTAAATTCAAAGTGCGCATTCCCAGATCATATAGCACAGCACCTCCAAATCAAATGGTTTCCAAAGGAAAAAAGGGCCTCTTCACCTCGTAACAAAAGCTACATGGAGCTGTATGTGAACATAATCAGAGCCCTTAGCACCTCCATTGCGGCGGATTTGCTGCGATGACTTTGATATCATCTCTAAATCTGAGTATCCGGCTGTGTCTCCAGGAAATCCAGAACATCACTGCCACTGAACAGCAGATCGAAAAGGAACGCAGGCATTGAAACAGTTGCTTTGGTTTGAAGCTAGTCGAGTCAGTAATCCGCACATTTTTGAATGGCTCTTAGCGGCCGTAGGATTGCACGCGCCTTCACGTTTCTCAAAAATCAGTCCCACAGCACAGTTTTGCTCAAATTTCCAAGGATTTATGTACATGGGTTTTAGGGTCTGAGGAACTTCAGCTGAACAAAAAATGCTAGCTCAGCTGACGTCAAAATCCTGGCAACCCCCGTGGGCGGCTGCAGGTTGACGGAAGTTTGCCAAGATTTGGCCCAAGTGGTTCCTGGTGTCTCCGGACGCGCTCGAAGCCAAGCTGGGTTGTCCCATTCTGCCCAAGACCAGATCCAGCTAGCTTCAGTGCTCCACAAGTTGCACTCATTGTCCTGTTCTTTCTTGTTTTGTTCCCTAGTAGCTTCTTGCTCCTAGTAGTGATGCCAGGAGCCCCTAGTAGCGTCCTTGCTCCTAGTAGTAAGGCCAGGAGCCCCTAGTAGCGTCCTTGCTCTTTGTTAATTCTTTTCTATCCATGATCATGATTGACCCCCAAGCACTATCAATCATGCACCAACAGACATCATTTGGATGACATGACGACATTCACCACCACTGCCTTGACCTCTGGCACGCTGCGCTCTTAATGTGAGGTGGTCAACCTATGTCAGCACGTCCAAAAGAAATACCGAGTGGCGGTGAATGTCGCGTCCGGGATCCAAGACCGGGAGGACCGGGGAATCGGGAGTGGCCAAGCCGAAGGGGAGAAAGGAAAATTTGGACATGGGTGACGATTTTCTTTTTTTAAATATTTAAATAGAACAAACATCAGTTTTGACATCGATGCAGCGTTGGCAGATCGAACTTGATGCAGTCGAACGTGTGTTTGGTGAAAAGCGCTGTGTTTGCTCATCTCTCCCGTTGATCCCCTTCCATGCACTTCTCTGGTCTGAGGCTTGGTGGTCACATGGATGCGGTGGTCACAGACACCATCCAGCATGCTAGGCAGTGTGTGCAGCACCTGAAGGACCCGTGGGGAAGGAAGTGGGGAAGGAAGGGGGGGGGGGAAGGAATTGTCCAACCAGGCACTCGGAACGGGGACTGGCTGGGCGAACTGGGATCGCTTTTGATGGGTTCGGATGGGTGGAAAGCAGGGCGTCGCAACTGGGCCAGTAGTTCCCTGGAAATGCCACCTCCAACTTTTCGCACTGGGCGATCAACATCACAGGTTTCTACCACTGACTGTCCAGTCTCAGGAGCGGATGTTGTCTCCATTGACCTTCCTACCTTTGGATAACCTGAGGGCATCAATGGATGTCCGACTCCAAGAGGCCGAACCCGCTCGTTCAGCTTCAGCGGGTGAACCCGAGCGGGTTTCTTTGAGCGGTAGTGTTGTGTTTCTGAGAGCTGAAAGAGGGTCCTTTGGTATCATGGTTACATACGATGACTGTATTCCTGTTACCACTTGGCTAACATGGCACTTGTGGCTTTTGGCTTCTGGCGCTTGCTTTTGGTCCCTTTTGCCTTTTTTGGCTTTTGACTTGGCCTGTGCCAAACTGGATCTATTGAAGCTCCCAAGAAGCGCTGTGCATAACCCCATATTAAGTTCCAATTGTATACAGATGATCAAAAACAACAAGTAAATGTGTTGCAGGATCAATGGCATCTATTTCGACGATTGGAACAGAAGAGAACACCTTTCAATGTCAGAGTAGGGTCCCAATTCACTCCTGAACACAGGTCGCCAGAGGACACACAGGACACAGAAATGCCGCCAGGCACTCCGTGGTCAAGTGGCCATCCGACCAGCTGGGGCCTCAAAAAGACCGGCGAAGCGAAAACAACGTTGAACGCCCTAGTAGCTGCAACATGGACGTTGGGCCCATTTTGAGTCCTGTGGAATCAACATGAATCCACCAGAGTCACCGCGTTGGGAACCAACATCCACCTCCGAAATCATCCTCTTCTTTCGCTTCGCGTTGGCCGCGTTGGCTGCGTTGCCCACTGCGGGTTCGTTCACCGCATCTCGGGTTCGGAACCGGGCACACTTCTCCGGAGCTCTGACAAAAGGCAGAGCTAGGCAAGTTGCCATCTAGGTCTTTCACAGGGATGGCGCCATAAACCGGATGGCGCCGCAAACCGTGCCAAAAGACCACCAAAAAAGGGATGGACCGAGGCCTTGAGCTGTGTCTCCTTCGAGCCACGCCTGAACCGTGCCTTCGAGTTCATGCTGTCGGTGCGGAACTCGTTCGATGAACGGTCGGTGGTCGGTCCAAGCGGGATCTTGGATCTCTTGGTCTTTTGTTGTTTTAAAGCCCGACGTCACTACCTATAGGCGCCTACTTCATGAAGTAAGGGAGTAAAGCTTCTAGCTACTTAAGCTAGGGAGGACGCGGGATAGCTCACACTTCTTCAAGGAAGTTCCTTCGTCGAGTGAGACAAGAGACCTTCGCTGCCCCATCTTCCGAGTGACCGTTGGACCCGGGAGCACGTTGGACCCTCGGGAGGACGTGGTGATTGCAGACTCGTTGGATGCCGGCCGGCGATTTGCTCGGGATCCCAGAGTCTGCAGTGGAGGCGTGCCTGTTCAAATGGCCCTTTTCGGTACTTTTCAGTTCTTTTCTGCATGGAGTTTTGCTTTCGCATCGCACTCTCTAAAGTCTTGACCAGAGACCTGGACTGCTCTCTGGCCTGTTTGGGCGAGGTTTTTGAAAAGCTCAAAGATCTGGGCATCAAATGCAGGTGTGAGAGAGGGGCATTTCAGGATGTCAGCGACCGTTTGGTGTTTTTTCGTTCTCCTTCTTGAAGATAAGCTGCATCATCCAAGTTTCTTGTCACATAACCACCAAACTTTCGTGTGTTCAGACTGCGGAGCCACAAGAATCTTCGCGTGTTCCCACTTGCTGCACCTTTTCACCAGCTCCCAGCTGGAAGGGCGGATGGAGGAACACTGGAGGTTCTCCTCTTTTCTTACTCGGTCGGACTCGACCTCGTGCCACGCAGGGTGGTCACCTTGAACGGTGAGACCATCTCCAGGGATGGCAATCTGGCTGTGTGGGCACCAAAGGAGATCCAGGGGTGGACCAAAGCATGCATGAATTTCGGTTTTCTTCGCGCGCGCGCCAAGGAGATCCAGGGCCTCAAACATGCACTCACCTGGTGGTGAGGGAGTTGGATGGAACATTGAGATTTGGACGGGAACACTCCATCTTCTCGAACTCGACCCTCGGCCACGACCCCGCCCCTGTCTACCCTGCACCCCTCCTCCCGCCGTTGGCTGCGTGCGGCGTAGGTCAGCTCCGACGCGGCCAAGAAGGGCGCCACGCGCTTTGATTTCTCGGAGCTGGAAGCGACCAAGGGGCGCCTGGAGGCGCGACCGCGCTCGGTCTGATGTATACGCGACCGCGCGAGGAGATCCAGCGGTTTCGCATGGTTGTGGGTTTTGGTCACGAGAGGGAGCGCAAAGCGTTCGCGGTCAGAGGTCGGAGGTTAGCAGAGAGGTTTCAGTTTCTTGAAGAATCGTCTGGTTCGAACAGTTGTTGTTTTTAGAAGGGGTACTTGACAGAGTGATATCACGGTGACCCTCGCCCACAACCCAGCGTTTTGTCGAAGCGATCAATGTTGGTTGCTTTTGTCCAGGCAATCGACAGTGAATTGATCGAGCTGCGTTCCAAGCACTCCTTGGATGCTGCCTATGCAGCGCTGCAGGTCTGCCTGGGCCCTTCCGCGGTTGCGAAAGGGCGTTTCTTTGCTGGGTGCCTGGGCCTTTTGTTTGTTTCTTTTTTGGGAGTATGCTGATTATGGAAGGTGCTGCTGATCATCGATTTGCTACATGCATGAGTGTGTATGGGAACAGGGAGACCCCCGGAAAGACCCCTGGAAGAAAGAAACTAGACCGCAACTTATTAGTGGGGGTGGTTTCCTATTAAAATACACCCCCATGAGTGTAGGAAGCTCCCTGCCTTGTGCCGACTTGCGCCGTCAGGATGCTGCCAAGAGTGCGGAGCTGGCCGTACGTGATACCGAGTTGGGGATGCTCAGCTGGAGCGCACGATGTGGGTCACTGGTACGGTCTGTTGGGTGTCGGAATCGTATGAAGAGGTCTCTACTGTGTGAGCATGCACAGTTCTGATATAGTGCTTGCAAACTGTGCCCTGACAGTGTGATTACGCCAGTACGCCGTGAATCTGCTTGGTGTTGGACACATTGCGCTCTACGCGACTAGGACGATATGTCAGTCGATACCCTAAACCCAAAACCCTTGGTGTATCGGTGTATCGGTGCAGTTTGCTATGTGTATCGGTGTATCGGCGTGAACGCGGTTATAGGGACACGCTTTGCAGGCGCTATGATGCGTTGGCACAAGGATGAAAACACAGTTCTGCTAGTTCATATGAATGGATCGAGGCAAAGCGAATTTGTAATCACCATCCAACAATGGTCTGGGGTTCTCAACAGCATCCACCGATATATTGGCAAACAAATGCATTGCAAAGTCACAAAGTCATCATCCGCAGTCAATGTTTTGATGTTCCACGCGTTTGAACGCGTGTCTTCGAATGCCTCCGGCGCCGCCGCCTCACCGTGCTGCATCGAATGCCTCACCGTGCCGCCGGAGGCTGGACGTGAAACGGACGGAGAGTGATCTGGAGGCACGTCAGCAGGAGCGGGGAGCTGCTCTGCAAAGGGGGTGATGGTCGGCGGGAGGAGCGCCGAGCGGGAGCCGAGTGGGACGGGTCCACAGGCATCCCTTGTTGCAAAGAACACATATTTCGCCCGGAGTGCGAACATGGTGGAATTTTTGCCCTGCTGAAGTGACTGGAGTCACTCAAGTGACTGCTGGAATGGTGCGAATATACTCAAGTGGCTGTGGAGTAGACGAGGTTCCTGCTGGGCTGGCAAGTGCCATGCAAACCTCACCTTTGTCTTGTAGACCTCTCCATGCTATCTTGTCTGGCAAACTCTTATCAGAGTTACGCACGGTTGCGTGTCTCTTGACCTGCCAATACTTGGAACATCACCAGCGGTTGGACTTCTAACTTTTTCATCAACGAGGAGCTCCTGGCTGCAGAGCAAGCCGCAGCTGCATTCCCGGAGAATCCGCAGGAGGTGCGGAGCATTCGCATGGTCGGAGTCCCTATGAAAGCAACAAAAATCGTGGGTCAGATCCGATGGAGATCCGGAGCCATGTGGAGCCATCCGGAGCCATTTTTGGGTTCCACTTAGCCGTCGATACCGAGGAAGATGGCCAACCTTTGTGGATGGCTCTCTGGCTCTCCCTCTCTCAATTTGCCTGTGTGCAATTCATGGCACGGCGTGGAGTGTGAAGGGAGCGAAAGACATGGGCTGGGTAGTTTCCCAAATCAGCGAGAGAGCGAGAGAGAGAGAGAGAGAGAGCATCCTTATGCTGCAGATGGAGCAATTGAAGAAAGAGCTGAAGGATTTGGAGCAGCAGATAGGCGCAGATGGGCTAAGCTTCACGAAAGGCGTCAGTCCTGAGAGTGGAGGCAGTTACACTTTTGCTGTTCTTCCTTTTTCGCGCTCCACAATTGTGTTTCAAACAGAGAGTTCTTGGATGGACGTAGAAGCGGTGTTGAGTGTGAAAGAAAGACTCACCAAGATGAACATGCAGGAAGTAAGATCTCCGGGATATTGCCACGACCAAAGCCCGGCTGCACCGCTGAAATCTGAAGAAAACACCGTGTAGGTCTGACATTGAAGGAATCAGACCGGCAGGCGCCGTCACGAGTGGCCTTTTTGCGGAGCTTGATGCACAGCTGGGCGCCGATGTTCGATCTCTGGAGAGGGACATGCGGTTCAAGCGTGAGGCCTGGGCGATCAGTTCGTTTCTTCGTCTCCTTTTCGCCTGCTTCTCTTTCGAAGTCACAAATGAGTGGAGTTTCAGCTGCCCAGTGGTCGCTGTGCATGGAAGGTCGCTGCCAAGCGCTGTTTTCGGTGTGACACGGTTTTCATGGATGAACGATGCATGGCGCTGTTTTCATCGACGAAGCACCGATGTCTGGGTGACTACAGGCCTCTCAATTTGAGGAAGAGGCACTTCTGCGGCAACACTCAGCCTTCAAGGCGGCAGAAGCAGCCGGATTCGTTTATAAGCCTCCAAAACCAGGGAGATTCCAATGATTCCAATGGATGTACTGTAGATGATTCTCTCCATCCACTTGTAGATGTCTCCTCTCCTTCTTTTCTTGCCCGTTCTTTTTTTGAAGATGATGGAAGGCCGTCACTTGCGCCTCTCGCCAGCTTGCGAGGCAGAACTGGCCATGGTGGAACAGACCCTCCAGGTGGAAGCGAGCATGAGTTTGCTTCAACTACTGAGTAACTACTGTACAACAGAAATCCAATTTGTTGTTCCTACGTTTGGCGGTATTCCCAAAAGTATCCAATTTCTGTTGCCAGCTGACCTTTCTTTCGCTTTCTAACTTCCGTGGAGCAATATGGCTGGCCACAAGGAGAGGCGCAGCCGCAATGTGGGCGAAGACAAGGCTGGTGCTTGGAGTGGTCATTCCGGCTGGACATTAAGTGCATGATCATCAGATCCATTATTGTTTGTAGTCTAGTAACACATATAGCACCCACATAGCCGCTCTTCATTGTTTTGGCTAGTCGGAGACCATGTAAACTGTCTGTTCTGCTTGGTCGAGATTGGTGCCCACCTCGCTTGGAACCACACCCTAAATGACAACTATAGGTGAAAGAAAACTGCCAAGGTTCTGCCAGCATTTGTGCTTTCAATGAAGGTTCATGTGAGTGGGCCGAACATGTGGCTGTTGTAGGCTGCAGTGGAAAAGCTCAAAGAGCGCCATCAAGAGCTGGACCAGAAAATGACGGTCGGGGCGCACATATCGGGATATTTTGTGGTGCAGATTGTCTGGTGCTCCAGCATTGAAGATCACCTGGCCTACTGAGTTGTTGTATGGCGTTGCTACTCCCCGATAAGTCATTGCTTGGATGGACTGGCTGGCTAAACTCTGCTCCTCCGATCGAGTTACAGAGTAGGTGGGACCTTCTCAACTCATGATTCAAGGTAGTCAACTTTGTTTAGGGCTCCTGAAAAGGCCAATCCTTTCAACTTACGACGTCCTACGCAAACGCCAAAGTAGAAGAAACTCAAGGCCGTCCCCCGTGACGGATCCATCTAGGCTTGCGTGCAGCGGGTGGATGCAGAAGCCGAGGTTGGAAAGCCTGAACGTTACTGTTCCTGGAGCGCGCCAAACAGTTTCTATGAAACAAAAGCGAGACAGATTCCGATGCAGGTTTGACGGAGATCTGAGGGGTGGAGGGGTTTTGAGTGTCCGTAGTTTTCCGCCGCTCCTGGAGGCCTTGCAGCAGCAAGAGGAGGTCCTGAAAGCTCAGGAGCAGGTTGGATTCAGCTCACCCACATGTCCAACCTGCTTACTTTGTGAAGTCTTTTGTTGTTTTTTGGCAAACCTGAAAGTGACGATGGGGGCACTATTTTCAGTGCTACCGTTTTGGTCCATTGGATTGCTGTAATTGCATCAGAGTGGCAAAGGACGCTCGCAAGGGATTAACGAGAGGCTGCGATCTAGAAGTGGTGAGCATGACTGCATGCTGCTGCATGCTACTTGCAGCAGTTGTTATCATGCCGAAGGCGTCAGAAGGCAGGTGTCGCGGTCGGTTTCGGGCAAAAGCAGAAAGCACTGGAGGAGCTTACCGGGTAAGGTCACAGAACCCTAAAGCTGGTTGCTTGCTTTGAAGTGCCCTCCTATCATCCGTATGTTATAGTTTAATTGGAGAATGATCACCCATCAGAGATTCCCTCCTTCGCACGAAGCTCCCTTTTTCCGGAAACAGGCGGTGTCCGCTGCCCGCCGCGAGCTGAAGGAGAAGCAGCGCAGGGCATCGGAGGCGTCAAAGAAGCCTTCGTTCCGTACCGGAGATCGGTGGACCGCTGGTGCCAAGAGGGATTCTTTGGATCCGTTGGATGGCATTGGCGGATCTGTTTGATGTTCTTTCTTTCTGTCTCAAGAATAGCAAGAACTGCAAGCCTTTTTCATGCACATGTGTTTTGAACAGTTGAGGCCTTGAGGAAATCATTTTTAGCCATTTGATGCTGGTATCCAGAAAGGGGTAAGGAATCTAGTCGGATGCACTGCTTCTTGTTTACAAATTCGTTCCCAAATGAGTTTGGCTTCACAAAGGAGTTTGGAATTGTCGGAATTGTCGTAGAAACCTTTGGGATCACCTTACACTGACATTTGTCGCCCAGAATGGGAAAGATTCTCGCCCCGCTGGTTTTGCAGGGCGAGCGGCGCCTTGCGACGCTGGGTGCAGAGCTGAAGGAGGTGCGAGAGGCGCGGAAAGGAGGTACATCTTGCTGGAGCAGAGGAGTATATATATAATTATATATATATGTATTATATATATATAAATATGTTATATGTTGTATTAATAAACCAACTTAGACTAACAACAAAGATGATTCTTGTCCTGCTTCGTCGATCTTGTGAAGCAACGGAAGTAGCGAAGTAGATTCCGTAGGCACTGCGGGTCTATACGGCGGTCTACTGTGTGAGCACTTGTATGCCCTTGTCAGGCGCGGTTGCAGCTCCTTTGCCAAAGTGTGTTAGAGGCGCAGCTGACAGACAGAGTCCACTCCCAGATGATGAAAAACCGAAGAACCTTCGGCAAGGAGATCGACCTTCCCTTCTTGGGCTCCAAGAAGGACAGCAAAGCTGCCTTGCGCAGAGTGGCGTCTTGGTGAAAGACGTTTCACTGTGGTGCACCTCTACGGTAGCATCCAAGAACCAATGAGCCATCGGCGTCAAGCCGAGGGGGCAAGCCATCCAAGGCTGTGACTTGTCAAGGCTCAGCATTTACGAACTTTTTCAGCTGCACATCCACTTTCGGTTGAAGCACCCGCCTAGCCAACCAAGGCCCAAGTGGCGGGGGAGTGAGATCCTCAGAACCGAAGCTCTTGGAAACCGGCAACTCAAGAGCTGGCTGAAGTAAGAGACACAAGACAGCTGCTTTCCAACAGTGAAAGTTCCCAAGTCATTTCTTCCAGTTCAGTTCGAGTCAGTTCCCCTGACGCTCGCAGCCATTCACCAGCAACATAAATCCCCGTGGGACTCGGACGACCGACTGAATCCCCGAGGCCCACGACCAACGAGCTCAGTCTAGACGTGCAGTTGGACTTTCAGCAGTTGCCAGAGGAGAGCAGGTTCAGATAGGTTCAGCACCGCTCAGAGGTCTAGATACGCACGGCTCAGTCGTGGAGAGGCGTCGAAGTGACTGGAGCGGGTGGCGTGGGTGTCTCATTCTTGTGCCTGGCGCTTGCAGGAGCGTCGTGCAGCTGCCACAGGAGGCGGGATAATTTTGGGAGCAGAGAAAAAATGACACAGGTACCTACATGTTGCCTCGAAGGTGGATTCAGAATTCAGAAACTCTAAGTGTTTTGAGAATGAATTCAGAGACTTAAGTGCTTAAACTATCACTCTTTAAAGCAGCTGCATGCCAAACCATGTGTTTCACAAAGCTCAGCACTCCTTGGTCCGTCTCAAACTGTTCCGCTCTGTTTCATGCTTTGCCGAGCGAGCTCGTCCAGGCCCCGCGAGCCAGTTGTTGGAGGATGAGTATCGAAGTGAACTTCGACGCCCGGGGCCGCCGAGACGCCGTCGGGGTGCGGTGCGGTTTCGGCGCACCGCTGTGAGGGTGCCATTCGGCGCGTGGGTGAAATTCGGTGAAGGGAGTCTTTATTTTTTTTCTGGTCGACAGAAGAGTCTTACGGCTGAAGAAAGGGGGGCACTGGCGCACTGGAATGGCACCGGCTGAGGCTTGGGAGGTGAGCTTGAGCAGCTGCAGCCCAACCTCAAGGAAGCCATCGGAGATCTTTGGAGCGAGTTGAAAGCGTTCTTTTGGTACATGGCTGTTGAGAAGGAGATGCTACTGCTATTTCTTTTGTGGTGAAGAGAGTTCTTCTCGGACTGGACTTGGAACGTTCTGGCTGTAGACATGACATGAATAGAAAAATACATGAATCATGGAGACGTCTTTCTTGATCCACCTTGCCAACTTCATTTGGCAAGGCATTTGACCAGCTGGAACAGGCTGATCAAGAGGCCATGGTTGCAGAGCGTGAGGTGCGGCTTCCTTCTTTACTGATTTGTGATCGGCTCTGTGAGTGAATGGTGCTTCATATATATATATATATATATATATATATGTTTTTTTTTCTTTTTTTTTTTGGGGGGGGTCTTTTTGCTTTTCAAGAGTTTTTGCAGGGGGTGGGAGGGGTTGAGCTCCTGGCATTTCAGAGGAAGCTTAGCAAGGGCTTTGACCTTTGGTCTGCCGTCCGCAGGCGCAACGTGCCCGAAAGAAAATGGAGGCCTAGCAGCCCAAGGGCTTTCAAATGACGCGTATGGGTTCTCATTCTACGATCGAGCTTTTCCTATTTGGAAACCAGAGCATTCATGAGCAACTGGTGTCCAGAGAAAGTAGAGTTCAGCATTATTCCAAAATTACTCCCAACATCTCCAAACATTTTGCCATATTTGGCTGGACATGGACCGCTTCTCCTTCGCCGGAGTGACCACCGCGCGTCTCCGTCGTCTGTCGTCTCCGTCGAGGCCGTGGAGCGGAGCTTTGAGGAGGTGCGATGCCAAAGACGGGAGACGTTTATGGAGTGCTTTCACAAGGCGAGACCGGTGGACTGGTCGTGGGGGGGGGGCATGCGGGACCGCAGGTCGTCCCAAAAACCTCGTCCCAAGGACGGGAGAAAGACCGGTCGTCCTGGTGGACTCGGAGTCCGTGAGGATGCTCGGAGTTAACCGACCGCTCGGTTTCGGAGCCCGGGTGAGACCCTTTGAGGGAGGTTTTGAACAGTACACTCATGGAGGATTGAGGGAGGCCCTCAAGAGAATGAAAAGGCTGACCTGATATGACCTGACTCTTTGCAATTAAACAGCAAAAGTAGATCAGGGAGCTCCGTCGATCTGCTTTTCGAAAAACGTAGACATACTGGGTCAATGTCGGCGACCTTGGCACTTTGCATATTCTACGAGATTGCAAACAGACAAAACGACGTTGGGCCAGCAGGTCCAGGAGGAGATTCAGGAGGTCTACCGCAGGCGAGCCGAGTGAGTGCGTTGGCTCAGAAGATGGCAGTCGAAACCAAGACCCCTCTTTCAGGATATTTTATTTCAGGTGATGTTTTCGTTGTGAGTCTTGCGACGTCCACACCGGTTGTGCTGTGCTGCTCATGTTTGCTTGTCGCCGCAGTGCTGTGCTTTTCGAGTTCGGAGTATCCGTGGCTCCGGAATCACATCAAATGGGCGACGACTTGGATCCTCGGCAGAGAAAGGGCGACGAGGTGATCAGGCAACGAGGTGATCGTTTTGGTCTTTGAAGTGTCCGGCCGGTTGGAACACAAAGATTGAAACATCTGGAACCAGATCAAGCGTCAGTTCCGTGAGCCCCTTTCAAAGCCCACGAACTACCACATCAGGGAGAATTTTGTGGCAAAGAAACGGACATGGTGGCCCTCCAGTTCGCCCAAATGGCTACTTCAACAGATCAAAGGAAAAGAATCACATCGTGGCATAGAGTTTTCCGAATCGACAAGGCATTTCCCTTACCTTTTCTTTTCACCCTTTCTTCAGGAGGAGCTGAAGGCCGAGAATGAGAAGCTTAAAGAAAAGCTCCGTGCGAAAGTATGGAGCATGGCCCTTGCTACGGTGGGATTTTTTTTTGGGGGGCTGCAGCTGGGAGCTGAGATGCCTTCGAGCTGAGAGAGAGAGAGAGAGGGAACGCAGATGAAATGTTCCGTCTGGATAAGGAAAATAGACCAACATCCACTGGGCCAGAGGGTCCCCTCCATTTAAGTACTGTACACACCCCCAATCATTCATATTTACCCAATCAATCCCAATCATACTTGCTTTCCTTCGTTTGCCCGTCTTCGTTTTCTTGCTCAGCATCCTCGATCGCAGGTCTCTGAGATGGAGAAGATCGCAGGTGGTGCGAGCCATACAGAGAACGTGACCTTGCCCAACAGAGCCCCGGAGAACGTGGCGCGCGAAAGCGGGGCTTGTCGGTGGATGGTTGGTCTTTGTGGCATGCGACTGAGACTTTATAGTGGAGTGTCCAGCGGTTCTCAAGAGATGCGGACTGTTCTCAAGAGAAGCTGTAAGACTTTTTCGTGGGATGCAATTGCGCAGAGACAATCCGGCGCGATATCAGGTGTTTCTGACATAAGCGGCTTGTTTCTGAACTCGAACCCTACAGGACTTCGTGAAACTGGAAGGACGCTCCATTGACGAATCCGAGGAATCGCAGCGTTGGAGCGCTCGGTCTTTGGACAATCTGCAAGCTCAGATGATTTAGAACGTATCGCGGCGCTGGAAACGGAGTACAAGCAGCTCCAAGATGACGCCCAGCAGCAAAAGGGCATGCTCGCGGTTTCTGGTGGAGAAGGGTTGCTGTCAGCCTGTTGACGCCTTTTCGTGTTTTCCAGAAATTTTTAGCCAAGGCGCCATAGAAGCTACATGTTGAATGCACATTCAATCGTAAAGGTCACGAGCCACGTCTTCATTTTCGATAGCCTTTTTTGTCGCATGCGCATCTCTCTCAAAGGTGCGTACGCTGCGTACCGAACAGATTCGTTTGCGCGGGTGGTACAATGCCCTGGCTCAAAAGCAAACGTTGGCTTCGTCGTATGGAGAATCTTCAAGGGATACTCCCAGCCCCTTGAAACATTAAGAGAGGCTTTGCTTTGATGTTCGCCTTTGACAGGACTACGTGGTGTTGTCAGAGGAGCATCAGAAGCTGCAAGACAGGCCGCCCGTGATCATCAAGCAGGAAGACAACAAGTCTGCCTTGTTGGAGGACGTTTCCACGTGTGGTCGATCGGCTGGTTGATTGGCTGGTTGTTGCAAACATTTTTTCAAGTTGTTTCAGTAACTTGTCGCCGCAAGAGCTCCACCAAACGGAACACGTGGACCTCAGAAGGAGCACGGTGATTTTCTGAATGTACAAAGGAAGACCTGCATATGGATCCTTTTCCTGCACGGAATCCAGCAGCATTCCGCAAAGACCATCTTTGCATAGAATAGATGCTAACAACACCTAAACAAAGCGACTGCAGCTCCAACCGAGCAATCTGCGTGAATAGCTTCTGTGACGGCTGCATCAAGCACAAGCACATCAGCAGACCTGCTCCAAAGATATAAAGTTTATAAGCGCAAACGTTCTAGACGACTCATGGTTTGCTTAGAACAACTCATGAAGGGAGGCGAGGGCCTCTTCAGCTTGGTCTGCAGGAGCAGTTGCGTCGAATGCAGGAGCAGTACCAGGCCAGGGATCAATCGAGGGAACGGCTGGGCTTTTCGTGGTGCGCAGTTCACTACTAGAGTCCCAAAAGAGAAGATGGCTGATGGCTGGTGCTTTCCAACGGATCCCGGGACTTTCTAAAGTTGGGGAAGTTGGGGCCGCCAAAGTGGCTTCATTGGTCGCTTTCATTCACAACCAGGTCGAACGATTTGTTCGACCCGTCGTTTTTCTTCCAACACTTTCGTCGTTCGAACGATACCTTGACAGCTCGTGGCGTTGGTAAGAAATTGGACTCCTTGTTGCGATGCCGCGATGCCACCCCCATACCCCTTGGGGCATTGAAGAGAGGTTTTAGCCGGAGAGCTGAGGCGATCCAGCAGAAGCTGAACAAGATGCGCGTGGAGCATCTTGATCTCCAAACCACGCATCGAGAACTCTTGGAACAGCATGAGACCCTGAGGGGTGAGGCCGAGAAAGTGGAGAAGGAGCTCAGCACACAGCTCAGCCACTCAGCAGAAAGCAACGTTTCACAAAAAAAGACCATGACCAAGCACCGAAGAGTTCGTAAGTTCAGGGCAAGTTTCAGGACACGCCGAACTGAAAGAATGTCTTCTGGACTCCCTGGACAAACTCTCGCAACTCCAGCTTGACTGTAAAACTGCGGGGAGCATCATCCATGAGTGATGCCCGACTGAGAAAAGGACTTGATAACCGAAAGCTGAGGAGTCCTTCGAGAGAAGCATGCGAGAGTGGGGCAGGAGCGACGGTCCTTCGCACGTGAGACAGATCATTCGGAACACCCCAAGTGATGATCGGAGTCGCCTTCGGAATCGCCTTCGGTCTCATCGAATTCATTGCATCGAATTCAATATCTCCAACGCCACTCTTGGCCACTCTTGGCATCCTCCGACTCCGACGCCCCGAGTTATATCCTCGAGTCCATTTCTCTTTGTTAGCTGCCGGCTGCAGGAGCTCCAACAGCTTCGCTCCAGTTCGCATGAGATGTCTCGACAACTCCAAGAGTGCAAGCAGGTCTGGAAGGGAAACACATCAGGGTGTGTATTTTAATAGGGAGACCCCCTGGCCCTGGCTGGGTAGACTGGTCTATTTTCCTTTTTTGCAGGTCGAACTTTGAGGCTTCCCTAGTCAACACTTTCTTTCTTTTTATGGGGATTTCGCACATCACTGTGGGATCTTTCCGCCGTGAGTCCATGAGGACTTCAATCCTTTGTTACACTGATCGATCGATTTGCACTTTCTTCACGGAACAATGTCAGCCAGGAGAAGCTGAAACTCTTTAACGAGTTGCAACAGCAGCAGGACCAGTGACATTTAGCCGGCCTGCGGAGCTTAAAGCGCCCGGACTGACGCCGGACCATGTGACCAATGGACTTACGCCCGTGCCTTCATCCCATGCCCTGCAGGAGAAATCCGAGAACATGGAACAGTTGAGAAGCTTGGTCGGAGAGTCTGAAGAATGATAAAGAATGAGTTTGATGCGTGCTGCAGGCCATTCTTTTTTTTCAATGGTGTGTGTGTGTGTGTACAAGGATGTGTTCCTTTAAATTTGCTGATGGAGGAACAGTTTTGAGTACAGGGTTCCACCCCCCTCCGAGGGTCCCCCACTTCCGACTCTTCGGGCGACCGTCTCAAGGAATCGACTATGAATCTCTGCTGGGTAGCTTTGAGCGTTTGCAGGTGGGAGCAGCGTTCGCGCGCCGTATCGAGCTCGCACGCGTGTGCACGCGCGGCAAGAAGGGGTCGAATGAGTCGAGTGAAGTTCCTTGGAGGATTGTCTGGTGGCTTTCAGGAAGTAAATGTGTATGTGGAAAACACGAGTATCACGGGTGTGTTTCGGTACAATCGCAAAATCTGGACAAGCAATGTGACCTTCCAGGAGGATCACGAGCAGCTCGTGGAAAAGAGCAACCGATTTCGTGCCGTGGCGTGTTTGGACGATCCGCAGACTTGCCCAACATGTTCCAAGCATGGGGCCACGCTGGTTTGGAGTTTGGTTGGAAAGAGGACCCAGTGCGGACCCGGTGCTTTTCAGGTCCCAGAGTTCGTGTCTGACGTTCGAGCAGCCAGTGACGAAGCACCACGGACTGGTGAGTGCCACATCTAAGGCAATACGATGGCGGATTCGTGGGCAGAACGTCCAAAGAGTGGTGCCGGGCTCTTGCCACCCATCACGCCGCTGACGGCCAACTCCCGCTGTGGCTGGCCCGAAAATATTTGGACACCGTTTTTTGAACAAGGAGAGAGTGTCTGAGTGTTGGAAGAACACACGTTACAATACAAACAAACACCAACGGATACCTACAGTATTTCTCTATGTTCAAATCTACATCATACATGGTTTGCGGATGTGTTTGGTTTCGGTTTCGCCTTCGCCGGCAGTTCGGCACAAGGGTAGACCTTCGCCAGCAGTTCGGCGAAGCCTTCAGTTTCATGTTCTTTTTCTTTCTCGTTGACCCTTCGTACAAGAGACTCCCGAGAACGAGGGTGGGGGAGCTCCACGTTGTGACCCTTCGGTGCATGGTGTCGCTCCACGCTCCCCCAGCCGGGCCTCCGTCCTCCGCCCTCCGCTCCCGCTCCATCCAGGTGCCACGCCTCGATCGCCCGAGCGTAGCTTCAGCTTGGCGGAGATGAAGCTCAGTGCTTTGGACCGTTCTCGTCTTGGGGTCGCCCCGAGCCACGGTGCCGCCACGGTCGGAGGTACACCAGAGAGGTCCCCACCGGTCGGAGGTCTGTCAGATGTATTGATCCTGGTGCCATGACTTAGAGGCCCATGGCATTGGTTCATGGTTCTCACGAGTTGGAGTTGGCGGCTTGTTTTGGCGTCCACGAGTGGATTTGGAAGCAAATTCATTTGTGCCAATGTGGCGAACCCTTGGCTTGCCTTCGATTTGACAGGTGCCAGGGGTCACATTGACTTGGTCTCTGGTTTTCCGGTGACTGCGGTGAGGCTGCGAGGAATTCTCCAAAGAGGTGACCTTCCCTTCGTCCTTGCTGGAGCCCAACGGCCCCCTGTCCGTGTCGCAGCTGAAGACTCGGCTGATGGAAATCAGAGGCCGGCAGACTCCACCGTGTCGTGCTCGATTGGCCTCTGGGGGTAGGGCTTTGGTGGGTAGGCCGGCGCAGCTACTGTAATTCCCACCTCCGCATGCAGTTCCTTGTTTCTGACCGTGCTCTGACCTTTTCATTTCAAGAGCTCTCAGAATGTTAAGGCTCAGGTTCTGGCTTTCCAAGCATCCCAGCCAAACCGACTCAAGCTGCTTGGCTTGTTTGCATCCATACCATGCTTCGCGCAGGTACTGTCTTATACTGCCAACAAGAGGCAGACTCCAATTTCTGAAGCATCTACGGTCTTTTTTTTTGCCACAATGGCAATCGGCCCTTAGTTCCTTTCGCCGGGTAACAACTCGCTCCTCATTTTCCCTCTATCCAGCCCTATGAGTGGATAGAGCGTAGAAACCGCCCCCTGCTCGCAGAACTCAGTGCTGAGTAGACCGTTTTTTTGGTATTTCTGGGTACCAGAACATGCTCTGAGTAGACCGTTGTTGCAGATTCAGGAGTTTTGGACCTTCGGACCCCTGTGGACCCAGAAGAAGTCCGGACCTTTCTCGCTCAAGACACTGGACCTTTTGGCCAAGCCAGCTGTTCGGCGATCTTTGGGAGCCATGACCACTTTCCCGAAGCAACATGAGATTCATGTCTGGATACAGATGAACCGACGTGATTGCCTGGAAGACACGGCCGTGCACTAGCTGGGATCGGCTTGATCCTCGGTTCTTAAAACAGTGCTCAAGAAATCTCAAGAGCATCCCATTTTTGTTAAATAGGAGTCCGTTTTAGGGCCTTTCAGTGCTTGCGAGAAACCAAACAATTAATTGCCAAGCCAATCAAGGCTGCATCATAAAACCACAAAACAACATGACGCATCAGTATTCTCATCAAAAAATGTTTGTTTATTGATCGTCAGTATACATTCTACATGTCGACGGACTTGGTCACAGGATTGCTCACGTTGGGAAATGGGTCTTCCTTTGGGCTCCGAATCAGGATTTCACTGGTTTCTGGCTATAGGATTTCCTTGCCATGTGCACCGCGTGCATTTGGAAGCATTGGAGATGCTAACTCCTCCAAAGACCCAGCAAGACTCATAGTGAAACTGTGGGCTTCAGAGGGCTTGTCGCCAGGTGATTTGGAACCCATTCGCCACTTCCTGCACGAAGTTCACTCATTTCGACCTTCATTTCTTCCGCCAAGCCTGGGGGTCACTTGTGTCCGAAAGACATGAAGCGAGTTGCACACAAAGAAGTGGCGCGATTCGGCGGGAGGTTTGAGCCAACGATCCCCCTTAAAAGGTCTGACTTGGGGGGTTGTAAGTTTTTCTTAGGTCTTGCCACCACTACGAGACATGCAAGAGATGCTGGGGGTGACCAAACGCGGGTGCGGGTTTTGGTGTTCTATGTGAGCCATCAGATGCAAGCTACTGGCAAGAGGTACATAGCATTACATAGCCTTGCAAGCTACGGTATATACTGCGAGAAACCTCAATCCAAAACTGCAACTGCTGGGGATTTAGGCCATTGTGCCGACTGACAAGAACTAAGGCACACAACCATCTACAGGTCCTCATTGACAATCTTTTCTTCCAGCTAGGTGACCCTTCCAGGAAGGACTCGAACACGAACGATCCACGGCGCAAGAAACGAACGCCCCACGCCTCTCGCCCCACGCCTCTCGCCAGGCTCACCAAAAGCGCCGCTGCAGGCCGTCGCACCTTGCGTGCAGCTGTGTTTTCTCCTGTCCTCAGATCTATCCTGCACATAGAAAGCTTCAAAGAACTAAACAAACCGCTCCTCAGCTGAAAGGGACTTTGGCCGCTCCGATGAAGCTTGGAAGACTGAACTTGGAAGACTTGCGGCCTTTCCCGATCTGCAATGCGCTTTTGAACGAGCCTTTTCATGCTTGGGAGGCTTTGAAGGGGGCTCTGCATTCTTGGACCTGGAAGACCTAGAGGAGAACCGCTTTTTGACTCGTTGGAAGGATATTTTGGCCGTCCTCCGCCAAAGCAGAGATCTGACATCTTAGACACCTTCGAGCAGTGGTGTTCTTGGCTTTGTGCTTCGCAGATTCACAGAACACCCAATTTAATAATCCCGAGATTCGCAATTGAACGCATAAGGGAAGAGCACCCAAAGACTGCTTCAGCAAGGCTCAGCTGGTCTTCACCCACTACCTTTCCAACGTCCAAATCTGCCTCACGATGATTGCCGCACCCGTCTTTTGTTGGAAATGGCTGGCAGCTCCGAGATTGTTGCTCATTGCAGGACCCTTGGAATGGTGGCATCAAGGCAGGAGCGGTGGAACCACAGCTACAGCTACAAAGTGTCAGCCGGGGGGGCCTAAGTTTTGAAAGAAACGGAGCAATTTGCGGTTGTGTAAGCTCTTCATTGAAGCGTTACAAGAACAAGCTCCTTCCCAGCCCTTTGTGAAGCCGCAGACCACAGACCTTGCTGATTGCCTAATGGGCTTAATAGCGAAGTTGATTCAAGAGAAGCTCTCCATGATGTTGGTTTTCTTGCTGTACTTGTCTTTCCCTGACACATTGTGATTTGCATGGAGTTTCCATCTGACCGCGCACTGTTGCTGTTGCCAGTTTACAGCCATGCCACCCTCGAAGCGCTTTTGTGACATGGCTTTGCTTTCAGGCCTGAAAGGGCTGCAAGACAGAGAAACTCTAAGACTTGTTTCTTCATTTGGGTTTTAGAGGCGCAAGATGAGACTGGCCCTTCTGGCACTTCCAGATCTTGGCTTGCATTCATTTGTAAGTAGATTCTGGCCTTCATCTTGTGTGTGTGTGCGCGCAGGAGACAATAATTTTGCAAAGCTCACGTTGAAGTCGGAGATAGTTATACCTGCAGAAGCATGCCCCTATGCTTAGCTTTCATATGGAAGGTGGCGAAAAGACCGTAGCCGCTATGGCCTTGCTCTTTGCTATCCAAGCGTACCAGAGGCTTGAGTGTTTTTGGTGTTCAGAGGCTTGCACTTGGAAGCGGGAGAAGTGATATTCAAGATTGAAAGAGGTGAATAAGATTTCCATCAACAACCATTGGGCTCGAGAGAGAGAGGAAGGCAGAAAGACAGAAAGAAAGTAAGAAAAGTACAGAACTGACGGACGAGCGAACGAACGAGCGTTGAAGATTTGAGACGAGACAGTTTTGTTGCTTCAGGCCACCCTTCTTGGTCTTAGATGAGATTGATGCGCACCTGGATCACACCAATGTGCAGGCACTGGAGTGTCAATCCGCCGATTGACGATTCCACTGGGTGCCACCAGAACCATGAGGTTTGATCACTGCCACGTGGCTGTCCCCCAAAAGATACCTTAAAGCCTAGAGCCTAAAGCATCGTGAAATCAATGATCATATTTTTGAATGTGTGGGCTATATATATATATACATGTATATTTGTAATATGTACATATATATATATATATACACCGTATATGAAAGCGTCAGCGGTATGCCGGTCACTCTGGACCAGTCATACAAAGAAACCCCCTGCACAAAAGAGAAAGAGGACTATACAACTAGAAGCAAAAAGGGACACGCCAGGACTCAATGGTGCGTCCGGCGCCTGCGTTCAAGGCTTTAGCCAAAGAAAAGAGGACTTCGTCCTCAATGTATGGAGTGGCACCGACAACGGCACTCTGTGGGAGAACCTTCCCAGCGGACTTTACAAACCTTGGGTCAAAGTCGCCAGGGAATGCATCTACATGCTCATCTTTGGAGAAGAATTATGTATACACAGAGAGCGAGATAACCGATCAACCTGCTGTCAGAACTTCGAATTAGCTCATCCCCTGCAGGTCCCAACGACCGGAAGACCGGAGTCCGGCGACCACTGGCAGGCTTTGGCCAGATTCATCGATTCCCTCGACTGCCAGCCGGGGTGCTGAGGGTCGAAAACAGGTGTCAGAAGTTTTTCTTTTTGCTTTGGAGGCTCCTTAAAGAGATAGAAGTAGATTTATCAGAAGAGATTCAATTCTGCCTACCAATTTCGGGGTTCACTTTTGGCCAGCTGGCATTCTTTTGTGTTGCCGCTGGCAGGTCTTTGTTTGGATGATATGATGCATCTCTTTCCTACTACACTGTAAATTAATCAGTGCAGAATGTTCTCAGAATGTTCTCAGCTTCTTTATCGTTTTATGTTCTCAGAATGTTCTCAGAATGTTCTCTTCTCAGAATGTTCTCAGTTTCTCAGAACTGTTCTTCTTTGGTGGCGCCTTTTAGTACTTGTATAGAGGTGCGAAGATGAATTCAAGCTCTGGAAAGACCCTGCAAGATGACGGGATCCCTTTTCCCATGAGTGTCGGTTTTGGATGCACCCACCTGCACCTGAACCGATGTTTTTCCTGGAGTTTTGGAGGCACATTCCACTTTCCAACCAACATACTGTAACAAGTTTGAAAGACCACAATCCTCATGAGAAGCGAGAAAGCTCAGAGCTCAGCATGCTCTTTTTTTGTGGATGTTTTTTTTCTTCTTATTTTGAATGTTTTTTTCACCGCCGAGTCTCCTCTAAGGGCCATTGTCATCTCGCAAAAGGATCGCTTTTTTACTCATGGTGAGGCTTGGCTTCAGTCTCTTTCGTCGGGCGACTGCGAATGGAAAAGGGTTCATAAGGTTCAGATGCTGAAAAATTCGAAGAGATTCCACTGGGCAAGTCTGTGGTCTTCCCTCAAGAACTTCAGCAACTTGCAGCCATTTGCAAAGAGGATTTAAGACCAATTACGGAATACAGGTCGACCCGCAAGGGTTGAGCTCGCACTTTCAGAAGAACCCGCTCCGGTGACCTCGGGTTCTTCATGAGGTGGTAGATACCGACCACTGTGACCGAACACTTCTCGACCATTCCGAAAACGAAAACGGTTGTGACACTTCCATTTTATTTCAATAGGCTACGGGTCCAAACCCATCGCGTCCCATCAAAAAAGGCCATTTGCTGAGGAGTCAGGGGTATGGACATGGGTTGACCTATTCGTTTGGTATCCATCGGTCATGATGAACGGAATAGACTGACCCAATGGTTGGATTCATCCAAAACCAAGAAGCTTGGGGAAGAGCTTGGCTAAGCTCGCTAAATCCCTTAGCGACGATCTATTTGCAAGACATCAGACAAAAGGCAAACAGTCAAAATGTCAAAAAGGCAAAAGACACCACACAGCTACTTTTCGACTTTTCGAGACTTTCGACCTTTCGAGACTTTTAAACCTTTGAGACTTTTGAACTCTTCGATGTTTGTTGCTGCTCTCACTTCTCCCACTTACCGAATTAACAAAAGAAACGGGGTCGTAAAAAGAAGAGAGGTTCCTTTGACATCAACTCAAAGTCCACCCGTTAATATCTCTTCCATGAAATGTTATAAATAGTTGCAGCTTCCATTGCACCCTACCTTTCATGTTGAAGTTTTGGAGGGAACATTGAATTGATCATGCACAATGGAGACAGATGCGGATCAATGTGAGGCTAAGTGATCAAGGTTTACTTTTGGACTCTTCGCGCCCAAGACAAGGGACCGATCACTTTTCGACTTTTCGCAAGTAGATCAAGCTCACACATGTGGCAACCACAGTACTTGGGACACTCCAAGCAGCACCCAACCGGACGGCGCTCCGAGCTGTCCGAGCCTGGCGGGTTCCGCAGGGACTGCTGGGTGTCTCGAAGCGTCAGGACACCTCGGCAGGGGCGCCCGGAGCTGGGTGTGGCTGTGTCAGGGGGTGGGGAGGTGGGGTGCATGTGGGGCGCGGAGCCGTGGAGGTTTGCAAAGAAGAAGCACACATTTATAAAAAGAAGCACCCACACTTAGATAGAGGGCTCGCAAGAGCAAACGTCAGTGGCTGGCCCACCGATGCATTAGCACTTGACCACGTGCTGGCCCTTTAGTGCAAACCGGTGCAAAGGACCAAGGAGCACCCCGCCACCAGGCTCTTCGTTGGCCCCTGCAATGATGGAGAAACCTGTACAGGTGGAAAAGGTAGAACTAAAACAAGTAGCAGAGACTGTGATGTTTTCCCTTGGAAGCAGCGAGTGACACACTCACACAGACACACGTGTACTACTCTAGTCACTCTATGTGCATTTGTTTCTGCACATCTTCATGTGTCGCATGTGGGCGCAATGTGTATAGACTTATATATTTGATCTTATTTCTGTGTCCTAAATGGTGCACTCCGTGCACTCTCTGGACGGCCTCAGGTGGTTTTCACTATGGACCTGACCAGACTGAGACCGCCCCGACCAGAGAAGTCCGACGAAGGGGATGCACTGCCGCTCCAGTGAGATCCCTTCGTGTTCGCACGACACTGGTCTGTCGAAGTGGAATCAACTGGGATGCCAGGCAGGAATTGATGAAGCTTATTGGTCTTGGAACTCTGGGATGATTCAAGGGTGTTGTAGTTACTCTTGTTTCAGGGTAGTTGAAAAGCTCATGGTTCTGCTTTTTCAGGGAAGTGGTGCATTTGACGGTGTGGCAGGAAAAGGGACTTCAAGAGACTCTGATCAAGTCCAAGACTCAAATCTAGCGTTCCAAACATCCTGATATTCAGCCGAAAGTGTTGGACACATGACCCACGTATACATACATACATACATACATACATACATACATACATACATACATA